CTCCCCCCCCCCCATAATTAAACAGATGAATTGATTTATAATGAACAGCTCCCCAAGTAGCTGCATCTGTGTATGAAATGCTGAAGATCTAATCAGTTTGCCAATCTTCAACTCTCCTGCACGTGGTCTGAGGTTGGAGCAGGTAAGTTATTGGGTGGGAAAAAGCAATATTTTGGAAAAGCAGATGGGCAATCCATTTTTAGGCTGGTGACATTTCAGATCCCCCCCCCCATGCGTTTAAAGTCTAGGATTTTCCCCACCTTCTTCCAGTTTGTCTTGCTCTTGTGGCATTTGCAAGGATAGTTATCATCTCAGCTCGCCAGTGGCATTTAACCCCTTCCCACCCCCAGCCCTGTAAACAGGATTATTAAGGATTACCACCTTAAAGTTTAACAACTTGACCAAAGGGGGTTTCTCTCCCTCCACTGCAGCTATGAAATGCAGCACAAGGCTGCCCAGAGTTGAAAACATGTGTCCTAAGGGATGGATGGGAGCCGATTTCACCTTTAAATAGATTCCATTACTAAGTGCTCCTTTGACTGCCATATATATCCTCTTCGGCCAAAAAAAAATTGCATCCAGAAAAAAAAAGACTGCTTGCCCAGAATGCATACACGGTGCTCTCCCAGAACAAAAAGGTTATTAAAAAAAAAAAACAGAAAGCAAGCAAGAAAACCAGGCTTTGATTTATCACAGAAGGCACTCTCAAAAATACCTACTGCAGTTCTTTCACTCAACTGCCAATAATGGCTAGAGCCCTTCACATCAGTGTAATGCAGCAATCCTGAAAGTACCCAGTGCAATTACAAAGCCGCCAAGTTTAGCAATGCCACGGATGGGCTTGTGCCGAGAGAAAAATGACCTTACCCACAACGGTCTCGCCAAATGCTGCCGAGGTTGGTATCAGTCAGTAAGGTAATTGCTGGGCATCACAATGCGTATGCCGGGGAGCCACGTTTTTTACTCCTCTGGGGTCTGCTAGCAATTCACGGCGCGGACGCGCTGCCCGTTCACAAGTGGCAAGTTCACCATCCGCGCAGGTAATTCCATAGAGCCCTGCCGCCCCGCCAGGCGGCCAGCCCGCGCCGGGAGCCCCGCGAGCGGCGAGGGGAGAAGCCCCGAGTCTGAGCGGGAGGCGCGATGGCAGACCTCGGCGCACACGTGAAAGCTCCAGATCCAGGCGGCGGCCGCAAGACAGCAAGAAGCCGAGGTGTATTTCACAAGTATCCTACAATAGCGGATCCGATGGGGTTTTCCTGGTACTGTACTGCTATGTGGAAAGCACACAGCGCTGCTGTTTGAAAGGATGTCTCCTGGGTCCTAGCACTCCCACAGGCACAGGGATGGAAAAAAAAAAAATCTCCAAATACAGAAAGGGGGGGGAGCAGTTGCCTGCTTGCCCTGAATGATGCTAATCTCCAGTGGAAATGACAAGTGAGCAACAAATAACGGGAGGTCTTGATTAATAACCACAATCCACCCAAAATATCCTAAGGAAGAGAGAGAGCAAGAGAGAGAGAGAGAGAGAAACTGCAATGCATAAATGATTCCAGTGTTTCTACGAGATCGGCTCATTTGATTGAATGCATTCTCTGGTTTGCTGCAAGTCATAAAGAAGATACTGTTACTGCCACCCAATGGATACTTTAGTACTAGCCAATCCATGGCTTACTTGTTCAAATAGAATACATTCACACATCTTCCCATGCCGCCTTTTATGTTGCAACTGCTTCAGGGTAGGGATTGAAATTTTGTCCTGTGTTTCTATAGAACCTAGCAGTAGGGGGTTTCTGTCAGAACCAAAACCAGGAATCTCAAATTTATCCACAAAATGTA